GACGGAAACTGCCGGAAGGTGGTGCTGGCTCGCCCACATGGGGGGTGTGTCATTGAGCCCTGGCCACGAGGTGCACTCGGCGAGGGCCCCCCCAGCACCTTCCCCGGCCGCCTCGCTCGAGTGTGCGCCGTGCTCCTGTCTGGGTACGACCGCCGACCTTTCTGCGCTACGTTGCTGACAGAACGCAGGAGGCTCATCCGCCTGTGGACAGAGTGCGCACCACCGGAAACAGGCCCGGCGAGGACTGGGGCTCTAGCACCCATGCTCGGTGCAACAGCGAAGGTTCAGTGGGGGCCCGCTTCAGAGAGCCCCTCATGCCCGCTGCTCACACCCCTGCACACGGGAGCTCCCCACGTGCCCTCACTGAACCCCCGGGGCGGTGGGCACGGAGCAGCGGAGGCAGCGAAGAGAAACGCCGTGTAAGCTGTGCCGGTGCCCGGGTCCTGCCCGGACCACGTGCGAACGCCCACCCGCCTGCATCTGGACGTCTATTTCAGGGCTCACCTTGCCCCACACCGGACCCCCGCCGCCAGGTGCTTGGGCCTCCCCCTCTCCTTCCCTCACCTCATATCCAGTCTCCTGCCTGCCGCCGAGTCCGTTAAATCTGCAAACCGCGTCCAGCCCTGAGCATCTGGGCCCTGTCACCCTTTCCAAGACAGCATCGCCTCAGACCAGGATTTCCGCCAGGAAGGCCTCCCGGCTCCGTTACTTCCCTCCTCTCACACCCACCAACACGGTCAGCCAGCCGGGCAGACTCTCGTAGGTGTTTCAGGTCATGTCACGCCAGTGGCTTCTCAGCTCACAAGGAGACACCTAAGTCCCACCCCAGCCCCATCGAATGTGGGTTCCCCCAGAATCGATCCGGATTCAGATCTGAAGGCCGGCCATCTGGGGGAATACGCAGAGCTGCGAGGAGAGGGCTGTGCTCGTAGAGGCGACCCGGCTGCACACAGCACACGTGGGTCACCCGCCATGAAGCGCTCACCCGCACGCTACCCTGTCCGTGCCCACACGTCCTCACGTTACAGAAGCAGCAGCTGTGGCTCCCAGACCCGTGGCGGGAACGTAAGGTCAGCAATAACACCTGCTGCGATTTCAGCAGGCAGGGCTGCCTCATTTGACCTTCGCGGGACCCACAGAGTCAGCGCCATGCCCCATCCGGGACTCGCCCACAGTCCCACAACTTGGAGGTGGCCGTGTACACACGAGCTGGGTAACCCCACCGCAGGCCCAGCCCCGGACTGGACTCTGCCCCTCTCTGACCCCGTGTCTACCGCACGCTGAGGGGTCTACACAACGGGACAAAGCACTGATTCCAGGTGCTGGGCTCACATGAGACCCCTGCGCCCACGTAGAGCCTGCCTGCTGGTAAAATTAGACAACGTCCCACATAAAGTGGGAAGACCAGTGACTAATTTGGCAACGCTTACTTAGCACTCTGTGTCACGCTTTACCTGTGGGGCAGGTAAGAAGGCACGCAGACCACGGTCCCACCCAGGAAAGGCTCCAGCCTGATATTTCCCACAGGCTGTCAGAGCAGAGAGGCTCACCTGGCGGGCGTGGTCCGGCCCCTTCCAGAAGCAGCAGGTGGAGAGGTGGTGGGCTCCAGGTGCCGTCCGTACCCAACAGGAGGCCGTGAGCCTGGGCACGCCCCGTGAATGGCACAAAGCAGACCAGAACGACTTGGGACCCCGGGAGCACGGAGAGTGTCTGATGTTCTCAACAGTCGAAGGAGGCCAAGGGCCTCCTGGAGCAAACAGGGCGGCACCCACTCACCCCTCCACAAGGGAGAACATGCTCCTCCCGCACAAGGTGCTGGTAATACACGGGCTCCCTTTGTCTAGCGGTGAATATCGCATAGTACAGTTTCTAGTATTTGGTCTAAGTCCCCATCCCTAACCCCTCCCTCAGCGTCGTTCATATACTTCTTCACAGGTAACCCTGCAAATTAGGGCAAACAAAATCCCCTCATAGCACTGACTCATTTACGCTCAGGGTGAAGCCATGAGGAAAACTGGCCTTCACAACTTCTCATTACGGAAACACGGCTCTGGGAGTCTTCTCCAGCTGGGCCGGTTAGCACGGCTCCGCCGCGCCGACAGCACTGCCCTCCACTCCAGCAGACGCTTGTCAAGATGCCAGAAGCAATTACCTGGCTGTTTAGAACGGAGTGATGGGGCCAGTGCCCTTCCCCTCCTATCCCCCGTCCAAACCTTCTGGAAGCTGCAGCCGTCAGGCACTTGCTCGGGGGCCGCCAGACGGCCGTCCTTCCTGCTAACGTGAGCAGCCCGTGCTGCGCCCCACCCGCCCTGCGGGCCACCCACCCCACAAGCAGCCCAGTGCTTCCAGGTCCCCGGGAGGCCTCCGCCCAGGACGGCCGACCACCAGCCTCGCCATCAGCGAGTGAGCTGGACATGCCACCAAGCGGAAGCCGAGCACCGAAAATCCACGGCCTGCCGCCACCGGGACAGCCCGTAAGGTGACCGCTGGTAGTAGGTGACAGGAGCCCAGGGGTCATGAGGTGTGCGGTGCTACAGAGCGCGAGGCAAAGGTCACTTAACCATATCTTCTCGGATGGGAGAAACACAAACGTTGACGAGAAATACACTACGTAAGAAAAAAGGACGCGAAGGGCACAGAAGGACTTCTCTGCTTGGTCAGATGACTTGTCCAGAAAGACCAGAGGTAACAACTGACTCACCGCGGTGTGCACGGCTGCGGAGTCAGCGAGCTCTGCACCCGGATCGCACGGGCGCCATCTACACACCAGCACCAGCTGTTTCCACCGCTCTGCAGTGCGGAACCGTCTCCTCACGCGGGACCCGCGCCCTCTCACGGGTCACTCACGCCGCGCACTCCTGCGCCCTCTCATTGTTCACTACCGCCGCGTGCTCCCGCGCCCTCTCAAGCTCATACAGGTTCATACACGGGGCGGAACGTCCAGGAGAGAGTCCCATGGTACAGGGAACAGAATCCGGACGCCGAAAACCAGCTGCGCTCATCAGCCAGGACACACAGCGCTGACGTTTGCTGTAGGAACTACGTGCCTGTTCGTTAAGTTTTCTATCACTCTGTATGAAATTAGCAAAAATAAATTCCCTTTCAGTTCCACCAACAGGGGTGTGTCCCCTTCATTAATAATAAATAACAGGAGACACCTGCGCGTCGTGCCACACAGTCCCTGGGTTTGCAGGCAGCGATCCCAACAGTAGGCCCTGTCCCTCAGGGTGCCGAGGGCTCTGTCCCGCTGGGTGCTGAGGGCTCTGTCGCACAGGGTGCTGAGGGCCGCCAGCCCACCTGACCCAGGTCTGCCCGACAGTGCCGTTCAGCAGCTTGCAACAAGGCTCCACATATCTTTTAAAACAAGAAACCATAAAAACTTCCTTTCCTTGTTAACACGTGAGTGAGTCTAGTGCTCAGAGAGCTCACTTCTCTTCCTCGGAGACTGGAACTCAGTACCACTACCCTTGGTGTGTCCACTGCCAAACCACAGAATCCTGATGTAGATTCAAACATAGCTTGGATTCACCAAGCTATTTCTCATAATCTTTTTCCTGTATAGCACCAGGTACATTCGTAACATGATAAAATTATGTACAACATAAAAGAACTAAGTCTTTAAAAGTACACGCCGTCCCCTCTTGCACATGCACTGCTAGAAACACTCGCTTGCACAGCCCTGTAAACACACTGGTATACCTGAGCAGATTCAAGTACTCAGGAAGTTACTGCCATGGCTCTCAAACATACATCTGGTGTGCAAGCCCCACCCCAGCATACAGCACTTCAGTACACGACATGAACACATTGAAAGTGACCAAGAAACTAGATTTTAAATAATCAAACCCATTTTCCCCAGAAAGCAATAAATGAAAGACCACTGTCAGTGAGTATGCTGCCATGACTGTAAAAGATTAAAAGAGCTCCTTGCAGTTTATTCTACTCGTTGCTGCGTCCTGATGTCCCCGCAAATCAGACCTGGAAAGCGTTGCTTCCCAGCACTGGGATGAGCAGCCGCCTGTGGGACAGCTGTGATTGTTTCTGCATAAAAACCCAGTCACTGACCGGGTCTGAACTTCGTTGGACAATCTCCGCTGCGGAGAAGCTAGGACGGATGCTGGAGGGAAGGAGGCGCCTGCGGCCACGAGGCTCACGGCCATTGACACGGGATCCCATTCCCTTTCATGGGGCCGGGCACGTGGACTGAAGTCCGCCGGCTTCTCTCCCTGGGGCCACATCAGGCCGCTCCACTGGGAAAGACGCTTTACTGCCTGCCGAGACCCCCGGCCCTTCGGCCTCCCAGCGACACGGGCCACGGAAGCGAAGCCCGGGGCGCTGGGCTCTCCACACAGTTGAAGTTGGTCAGGTTTCTGGGGCAGAGTACAACTTTGCAAGGAAGTGTCCCCTCACCAGACATCCCTGGCCCCCGAGACCAGTGCTTTAGCAAAAAGACTAAGTAAGGGCACCAGGATGTCCTACAAGTAAAATTCAACAGCCACCAAACTAGACAAGAGCGACAGCTGACCCCGTCAGACGGAACGCTGCTGACACCCATGGCCAAGGGCCACCCCACGCCGAGGTCACTCGCTAGGTCTCCAGGCAGGTGAGTGGGAATAACTGGGGTCCGAGAAGCAAAGCTGGAATGAAGTTCTCTGTTTCTATTCGAACCCCCCGTCCTGCACTGACGTGGTCTGGGACAGACAGAAGCGCAGCCACTGTGCGCTTCTCACTCGGGACATGGAGAACCTCAAAGCAAAATGGCACTGGCTCGGTCCACACGGGGGCGCCACACTCACCAGGCCCAGCTCCCCTGGGCAGCGGGCTCTGTGTCTCGGGCTTCCTGCACCCGCAGCCTGGCCTGTCACACGTGCTGATGAGGCACTCGTGCTGACCGACTCTGCCGTCCCCCCGTGAAATATCGGGGTGCTGGGGAGACTGCGCACCTCCTCCGCCCGGGCTGGGCGTGTGTGCCCACGTGTGTTGTGTCGAAACAGCCTTACCTGCTGCCTGCGCGACATCTCCCGTCGTCATGTTCTGGACGCTGGCGCTCACTCGGAAGGTCACGGCTGGGCCCAGAACACTGGAAGAGACCATTAAGAAGGGGCTCAGAACCGCCTCCGCACAGAGTGTCGCTTCTCTGAAGCTACGTGGGAAACATGGACACGCGGACGACACGCAGGCCTCAAAGCCACGGCTTGTTCCATGTGTGGCCTCTGCCAGGCTCCAGATTCTTGACACTGTGCCTTTGTCCCCAGGTTCCAAGAATTCTATCGACAGGCTTTGCTTTTCTAACCCGCACACGGTAGTGTTCTTATAAAAAATTCAAATCAACCCCAATCAACCAACGAGAACAAGCAGATATTGCAAGGGAAGAAGAAAAATTGTTATGGAAACAGATTTTAGTATTTGGCTCCCACAGGAGTGGTAGGAATCAAAAGCAAAACGGGGAGAGACTGGTATTTTTAAATTTCTCCTGACAGGAACCGTTTAAAAAACTTATCAAAGTCATTACGAACTATTTAGTATAAAAATAACTAGTAGGGAATTGCCAGACAGAAATGATTAAAATTTTCAAAGCTTTTTAAATACTGTGTTGAACATCAGTTTGAAAAATAAATCACTTTTTAAATAATTTTATTCATCTGAAGGGGAGAGGGAAGAAGAAGGGAGGAGGGGGGAAGGGGAGAGGGAAGAAGAAGGGAGGAGGGGGGAAGGGGAGGGGGAGGAGAGGAGGGAGGAAGGAGGGGGAGGGGAGGAGGGAGGGGGTGGAGGAACAGGGGAGGAAGGAGGGGTTGGGTGCCCTTAACCAGGACTTGGGTCCCAGCTCCTGAGACTCTTGGCCCCAGCAGTCTCGTGACTGAGGGTGCACGGTGCAGAGCTGGTCCCGCGGAGGGGCGGGGGGTGCCGTGCAGGCTGCAGGGAGGGAGGTGCTCCCCTCCCCCAGCACAGACACGAGGCAGCCGTGTCCCAGCCCATGGACTTTCTCTTCGACTTCTTTCTACAAGAAATGTCTACACCTTCACAAAACTCTGCTGAAACGCCCTGAAAACGCCACCATGTTCATCCTTTCTGCTTGGTTTCCGTTGCCAGTGATTAGAGACCTGACCGGAGTCGTGGCTGCACTCTGGCCCCGACCTGTCCCCAGGGGGCACGTGTGCCCCACCCTCCAGACCCGCTCACCCCACGCACACTGGCTCTCCAGGCCTCTACCCGAAGCCACCCAGCCGGATCCTCCTGGTCCCGTCTACCAGAGCCACGGCCACTTCTGCCTCCATGTCTGTCTCCCCAGTGCAGTGAGCTCCGGCCTCCACCCCTCCCTGCACACTGAGCTCTGGCCTCCACCCCCCCTGCACACTGAGCTCCGGCCTCCACCCCTCCCTGCACACTGAGCTCCGGCCTCCACCCCCCCTGCACACTGAGCTCCGGCCTCCACCCCTCCCTGCACACTGAGCTCCGGCCTCCACCCCCTCGCAGAGTCCCTCTTGGCCTCACCCCCACGCACACTCTGACCCACAGCACACCCCTGCAGAGCTGCCAGCCGGTGCGGGGCCCCCTGGGCACTGAGCACATTCACTGTCCTGCAGGACACTTGTGGCTCCCCAAATGTCTGGCTCTCTGAGGGCATGTCCCTGCCAGGGCCTCGCACACCTGGGGGGTGACAGATTCACAGCTGTGACCGAGTCATGACACTGGGTGCAGCTGTCTTGTACGTTGAGAGAAGGTCCTGACCAACAGGCCTCCCCCGCCAACCAAAGGGCACGGATCACAGACCTTCACACGAGGACCGTGGCTCTGGCGTAGCCTTGTGACATTTCCAGTCCCACCCAAACGTCCAAAATTTCCCGGCGGATGGATTCCCCAAACCCAAAACCCCCTCAGCTGCAGAGAACCTCCTCTGAAGACCCTGCGGGCTTTCCTGGCTCGCCCGCGTCGTGGAGGAGAGCGCGTCCCTCTGCCCGCCATTCCCGTGGGGCCGGGAGCTGCGTGCGGCAGCCTGGCCAGCCAGGGACACAGCTGACGCCTGGGGATGCGCCTGGTGCTCGGCAAGCACTCGGAGCGACGGCTTCTCACAACCCAGCGCTGGTGACGCGGCACGGCCCCTGGGCCGCCCAGCCCTGGTCCCGCCACCGCGCCTGTCCCCTCTGGTGACATTCAGGGAGGGTCAGGAGTCCAGCCCGGTGCCATGACAGGGACTCAGACTGGCCCCTGCGTGTGGCAACACGGAAGTCTCTACACTGAGCTCTCACCACAAGTCTACGTACGTCCCCTCCGCTAGGGCTGTAACCTCACTGGCCTCAGTTCACTCGGCTGTGAAATGGGGAGGCATTCCTGGCCCGGAGGCTCCGGCTTTCCCGTAGGAGCTGCCGTGGGAAGCCAAGGCCGGAGCACACGGAGGCTCACTGAGCCTCCCCCCAGGGGCTTCTGAGGTTAGGGGCCCTGTGAGCAAGACAGCTGGACGCGGGGTCTGCGGTGTGCCGTGGACCCACGGGCAGGGAGCGCCGGATCCCCAAACGGAACAAGGATTTCTCTGGCGACTACCTGTGAGAGCGCCGCCGCGGTGACCAGCCCCCACAGTGGAAGCGCAGGGACCGCCACAAATCCGATCCTCTCCGCAGGGTCAGCCTGTGATTCACTTCCTTCCCCTTTGCTGCTTCGTGATCCCTGGAACGTAATGTTAATCTATTGCCTTTACTTGCAATAAGCTGGTGCTTCTGAGCCCAGGGCTGTTTACAAATAGTGGGTGGACACAAATGGCTTCATCCAAGAGCCCTGAGGGCTTTGTCCCTTCCAGACCCCAGGGGCACGTGGACCGAAGGCCCAGGGGAAGCAGAGGCTGTGTTGGGAAAGTATTTAAACTATTAGCTAGAGGGATACACTAGCACAGCACCAGGAAAGGGCCAGAGAGCTCCCCCCCTACCCTGCTGGGTCCCCCCCCTCACCCTGCTGGGTTTCCCCACCCCCCCTACACCCTGCTGGGTGCCCCCACCCCACCTCACCGTGCTGGGTGCCCCCACCCCCCCCACCCTGCTGGGTGCCCCCCCCCCCCCACCCTGCTGGGTCCCCCCCCCCCCCCACCCCCTGCTGGGTCCCCCCACCCCACCTCACCCTGCTGGGTCCCCCCCCCCACCCTGCTGGGTCCCCCCATCACAGGACACAGTATGTGGGGGAGGTGGCCTCTGCGAAACCTTCTCCCTTAACGCCGTGTGAATGGATCACTTGAAGTGTGCAGACCAGCCCCCCTCTGTGGGAAGTTGGTCCTTGGGCTGCAATTTTTTTCCTCCTTTGCATTACACTGCTCTCAGCCACAAAGCACTTCAACATATTGCAAACTGTCACCGCCTCGCGTGGGTTCTGTGCAGGGGGACGAGCAGTTACCGGGTTTGTGGCGCTTGCTGAAGGAGCGCCCTGCCCGCACTGCCCTCTCGGCAACTGCCCATCACGGTGGGGCGCGGATGGAGCACCAGGGGACCCCCTTCCGAACAGAAGGAGTTCTGGCCGACAGAGTGACAAAAGGTGAGCTGGTCAACAGGCCCGGCCACACACGTGCCCCAACCGGCTGCAGCGGTTTTCACGGTGTTCACGGTGAGGACGGGCACAAGCCCACTCCAGTCCCCAGGGAGCGGGGTCTCCCTCTGGGAGCCCTTTGGCACGCTCCTCTCCAGACTCTGAGGACTCCCACACCCCCCGGGAGGTCAGCCAAGGCTCAGGCGCAGAGGAAAGCCACCAGGTGTCTGGCGCTGGGGCCCACCCCGCGGGGCAGGGGCCTGGACGGGAGGTGCTCAGCAGAGATTCAGAGAACGAGATCACGACTTTCTTTAAGATGGGACACAAAGGAGGAGAATGGCAAGAAACAAACTGAAAAGCCCAGGATGGACAGTGCCTGGCGGTGAGCCTGTTGAGGGTTCCGGGGGGCGGGGCGGGGGAGGACGGGCACCATGAGGTGCAGGGCGCCAGGTGCTGCGTCGTCTCAGGACTGAGTATTCCCGGGATGCGGTGAACTACCTGTGTTTTTTAAATGCTAGATCGCAGGGGCATGAAGAAGGACGGAGTCTGGAGACGGCCGCCCTCCCAGGACCCAGCAGTCACAGCAGCCACGCAAGGCGGCCACTCGGCCATCGCCACCACCTGGACCCGCGTCCCTCCCACCGAGAGCGCCAGCAGGAATACCAGCCCTCCCGCACCGGCCCGAGGCTTCCAGATGCACAGAACACGGAGCGGCCTCAGGACCACGCGGAAGCCTGCCGCAAGGCTGGCCCTGGGCTGCAGCGGGGGCCTCGGCTCTCAGGAGGGTTCCCACCAGCCACGCTCCATCAGCAGGGGCTCCCCGCACCCAAACAGCTCCGGACGAGCAGGGTGGGAGCAGGTCTGGGGTGGGACCGAGGTGCCGGGAGCCACTACTGTCTCCTCAACCAGGTGGCCTGGGCCGTCCTTCCCACCTTGTTCAGTTCTGCTTCTGCAAATACTCGGGGAAAACAGCCCCACAGGCATGATGCTGGCACAGAAAGGGGAATTTCTGTGTCTAATCAGAAAACAAAAATTAAAACCGATGCCTAGAGCCCTGCAAAGTCTCTGAGAAGCAAATATAACATCTAATATTAGAGCTGGCAGGGAGAAGACAGCCTTTTTTTTTTTTTTAGAAAGTAACTTATTAATAAATATAGAGAGTTTCTCATGCAGAACAAAATATTCCAACTCTATTGATACAAAAAATTAGTGTTAGACCAGGAAGAAATCATTGAAACAGACGCAAAGAAAGAGGAAGGAACACCACGTTAGAAGGGAAGGCCTCTGTTTCACCACAAAACAGAGAAACTAATTCTGTTCTTAGACTTTCAGATTCTCATTCAGATCCAACCAGTAATTGTTGGAAACGCACGACAGTACATTCCTGTCATTTGTGGCACTGTGTCCTACAGGGTCAAGGTCAACACAGGGGCGGATTTAAGGAACACTTCACCACGGCTCCCAGGACGCACCGGGCTGGGCTCTGCCCGGCTCCGGCCGTGGCTCTGGTCACGGTTTCCCAGTGCACACGACACCTTGTTTCATGTGTGCTTCTGTCTGAAGACACCGTATTGA